AGTACAGGGGAGAACTGAGGGGAGGAGAGGACTAAATTCTTTACTATGTGAACTGTGAGTGGAAAAGTAAAGGAATGAAGAAACACATATAATACTGAGTTAACTACTACTATTTAGGCTTTGATATAAATGTTTACCTTACATAGCCCAGCTGATAGTAAAATAGCCACCAGACTATTTACTTTGCTGCTGCAAGAGCCTCAAATCAAAGCAAGCAGCAAAAAATCATTAAATTGCAGGGAAGTTATTGGGTGAAATAAGAACATAGTAGTGATGTTAGGTGCTGACAAGGCCCAATTCAAATTGGTAGACTCCAGAAAGTAAACTCTGGTAGGAAGAGGAAGAAAAGTAAGCCTTATTGAAGATGTCCTATGTTTGGGACCATGAAACATATTTGGTACTTTTCCTCTTAATTCCATTTACTCTGATCCTCACAAGAGCATGTGTGCAGTGTATTATATCCTTTCTGCAAAAAAGGAAAAGAATGTAAAAATTTAAGATAACCCAAATCAAATGAGTAAGAAACTGCAGGATCGAGTTTGATTCAAATCAAACTGAGCTCAGTTTGATTCAAATAAGGCTTTTGCCTCAATTACTCCTCTGATGCTTCCAACCTGGAAGGAAGCCTGGAGCTGACTTTAGATCCTATGCCATCTGTACAAGCCTCCAAAGGATAATAAAATTAAAAACAGTAAAAAGCAATGTTACAAATAATGTTACAGCCAAAGGACTCTAGGAGATGTCACAGAATTATAACACCAGTAAAAAAAAAAACAATTCACCAGAAGATTGAAATAAAATAAAAGATCACAATTAACTTTCACGAAAATCAAATTTTAACCAAGAAATATTTCCCTAAAACTTTCTAAAATCTACTCGTAATACAGTACTAATTTCTTGATAATTCAAAAATCTACACTAGTTCCCAACTCAACTCTACAAAGCAGAAAATATTTTTAAAAACAATAACAAATACCACAACACATATAATCTAGTATCAAATATGATCATGGGACTCAGAATAGAAGCTATTTTCATAATAATTCATAAAATCCTAAGTACTTGAAAACATCAGATTGGATAACTAATGACAGACAATCTATCTGGCCCCATTATTTTACAACTGAATGAAAAGCTGGCCGGAGAGCTCCTCTGTTTAAAAAGGAGAGAAGCAGAACTTAAAACAAAGAAAGAAGCAGAGAGAATACTGGTATACTTAATAAGGTTCCTAGGTCATCGATAACTATACACATAAACTAAATATACCTTTTAAATAATTGTGGAGCAAGTATTGCACAGGAGTGATATGAAAGCTATTGCCAGAAACAGGGAAATTATGTATACAATATACTAGACCCTCACTATAGTTGTATTCCTCACATCGACTAGTATTTCTAGATCCTATACAAGAGTTTTATAGTGAATGCAAAATACATCCATGTAGGAAGGAACCTGGCACCCGTGTAACTCAAAAATGACTAAAACAGAAACTCATTCTCTTTTGAAAAGATTTTAGATGTTAATCCTCAACTCTTTGCATTACCGTGATTCATTAATCTTAAAATGTCAAGTCACTGTCCTCAATTTCCATCTGAACAAAAGTTTTCCCTTTGGTGATACAGGAATCCTTCCCCTATTCTAAAGTTTATCTTACTTAAACCAGTGCCACAAATAAGGATATTTTAATATCTTGCTACTTAGTGTAAAATAGGAAGTTCACCTTTTAACATTCTAGCTGCACCTAATAATTCAAATTACTGCAATAAAAAAAATTACTATTAAAACCACCTAAAGAACAAAAATTAAAAATACACCATAATATCTGTACAAATTGTGTAAAAAGCATTGCATCTTTATAGCTATGTCAAGGACACAAAAAGCTGTCACTGAAATACACAAAGGCAATGCTGCCATCTAAAGGCCAAGATATAACATGGGAGAAAAGTATACTCAGGTCAAATACTGCCAATGTATAAAACAACCATTTGGATATTTTAAAGTCAACGAAGTTTATGTTTAAATAAAAACACTATGATATGATGCTACGTAGCATAGATGCTACATAGACTGCATAATGAAGATTTAAAACTCTTTTGAGAGAATTTAAGAGTTATCAGCAAAATAACTTGGCTGATTATTATCTGCACAGATTAAATTCTGCTGGCATCCTTACAGACATAGTATTCTCCTAAATATTTCTATTAGTTGTGAATTTAAAATATTTGTCCTATTTAACTATATAATACTGAGTTAACTACTACTATGTCTATATTTCCTATTTGTAATAAAATATGCAATTATTAATTATATATCTGCAGATATAAATATTATCTGCCTTTAACCAGACCACTATTATTTCTACTTACCCCGTTTTAAATATTCATTGTTAACTGACTAATAATAACACTTATCAGAGTTAAACAACCCAACTACTTAAAATTGTACTTTTGCAAATAATTCAAATATTTCTCCTTATTTCAAAAATTCCCAAAACACAAAGCAAGGTTCCTATGGGAAGTCAGTTATCAATAATGCAACTGTCCAATATAAGAGTTCAAATTATTCTAAATTTTTCTTTCTATGAATCTTAAATTGGAAAAAAAAAAACTTTATTAAACTGAACTTTAATATCTGGTGAAATTACTTCAGTTTCAATAAAATCAAATATTTACTAAATAACCCTATGTACAAAACTGATTTCCTTGGCATTCAAATACATAACAACTTTTTAATGGCACACAATACTAGGAAAAATCTAAGTTGAATATAACTAGAACCTTCAAAACATATACAGTTATAAAAAATACTAAAGGCCTGAATTCATGCACCAATGGGGTCCCAGGCCGAAACCGGCTTTCCAACATCCCCCAAGGGCTCCCAGATTGTGAGAGGGGCAGGCCAAGGGACCCCACTGGTGCATGATGAGGGCCAGAGATGGCCGCAGGAGGTTGGCCAGCATGGGAGGACTCCAGGGTATGTACGGCCTGTCTCAGACCCGATCAGCAGGACCCCAGCAGTAAGCTAACCTACCAGAGTGTCTGCCCCCTGATGGTCAGTGCATGTCACAGCAACTGGTAGACTGGTTGACTGTCTGGCCCCTGCTGGCCAGTGCACATCATAGTGGGCAGTTGAGCAGCCTTAGCATATCATTAGCATATTACACTTTGATTGGTTGAACACCTGACTCATCAACAGGGCACTTAGGCTTTTATTATATAAGATATACAATTAATTCCTTTGGAAAACCACTGACTAAAATTTTAATGTGTCAAAAAAAATGTTTTTCTGTGTTTAATCAACAAGAAAACAAGTATTATTCATTCAACTAATTGCTCCCATTATGTGATAAATACAAAAATTTTAAGTTGAAATTACCATCCTTTAATTTATCTTGAGTGTAAAGTGGAAACCAACAGACAACAAATATAGTCATACCCTCATAAAACTACTACTTTTTCAGGTGTCAGAGTTTGTACTACACAATTTTAGAACATTATGTCACGTAATCTGCAAAGCCACAATGATCAAAAAGACAGTTATTAACCTCATTTGCAAATGAGGCTCAGAGAGTTTAAGTAACTTTCCCAGAGTCACAAAGAAAGTAAGTGAATATCAGGATTCAAAACTTCAATTTCTCTAACCCAGAAGACATATTCTCTCTACAAGATCAAACTGCCTCAGTGGTAATTATTATTAAGTTTAAACTAAATATACTAAAGAGTGAAATATTTTTACCATATAATTTCAGAGAAAAATATAATTGTATGTAGTAATAAAAGCATTTACTTTTAACTCAAAGTGTTTCAATATTTCTAACTAGAATCTTTTTAAATAGCACTGTCTTATTTGAATTGATGATGCTTCTGAAAACCTTTCAAACTTACATTAATATATAAGATGAATTTATCAAATTTTATAAACTAACTCAATGTGGAACACAAAGATCTCTTTATTTTGGGGGAGACAATTAAAAAGCAAATCTTTGAAAATATTCTATATATTCAGGGCCACCTTGCCTATTTTAAAGGGCACCTTTTCTCGGCATTGAAAATTCTACTAGTACCTCCCTAGGGATAACTTATTCTGTTAACTTGTAATTTATATCTATTCAATCAAAATCAAGTGGATCTGAAATATTATTCAGTCCTAAAAAAGAAATGAAGCTCTGTCACATGCTACAGAGATGAACCATGAAATCATTATGCTTAGTGAAAGAAGCCAGACACACACACAAAAAAACAAACAAACACGTGTGATTCTGTTTACATGAGATGGCAAATCACAGAGAACAGAAAGTAGACTGCCAGTTGCCAGGGGTGAGGGAAGTGGGGAGTGAGTAATGATAGCTAATGAGCATAGGGTTTCCTTTGTGGGTGATGAAAATATTCTAGAACTGGTGAAGATGATTGCACAACCTTGCGAATACACTAAAATCACTGACTTAATACACTTTAAAAAGGTGAATTTTATGATATCTGAACTATATCTCAATAAAAGAAAACTAAATGGCTTTAAATATATTCCGTACAATACATTAAGGATGAATAAGTTATACATGTGTGTTTAAAATATAAAAGTCATGTAATTGCCAAGATTATTTACCTCAATTCCCTGATTCCCATTTTTATCATATTTAGTGAAAGACTCTACTTTATAAGTGTACATCTTTCTGATTATTAAAAAATCCCAAATATCCTGAATTATTAGAATCTCTAGGAAAATCAGAAGAAACTACAACCACATACTTAAGTTTGACGACTAAACTTTAATTTTTCCAATATGCCTGAGTGGTCTATTGTCATGCAAGTGCCAACTTGAAGCACCTATACAGTTAGAGGATCAATCTGAAAAATCATTGTTTTGAGACAAATCTTGCTTTTAGGTAATATTTGCCTTAAACGACCAAAAATAGCAAGTAGAAGAAAATTTATAAGCTAAGTTCTAAGGAATTCAAAGGTAAGAAGCAAAATAAAAAATACAAAAATTATATAAGTACTTACTAATTTGTTTTCCTGCATATATATTCTTTGCAATTTCAGACAGCCCTTAGCTATGACGATCATGCCTTCATCTGAGATCTTGTAACACTGGCCGAAATGAATATCTTTGAGTTCTCTGCATTTTGAGCCCAGCTGTAAACAAAAAGAGTTGGCTAAATGCTTAGAAAATAACAAAGGTAACATTATTTCTAGCAATACCAAAGTTAAATAATTGTTTATAAACTACTTTTAAAATAAAAAACAAGTAGCCTATAATTTAAAACAGCCTTTCCACCTTCTAATCTACTTCCTTGCTTCAACTACTATATGCCCTCCTAAGTGCCTTAGAGTACTTAACACTTCAAATTCAAATCTTTATTTCTCTTGAGTCTTCTATCAGTTATAGTGTTACAGGGAGTGGGACATCAGATAAAGGAATAAAACAAAGGTCCAGCACACAGACGCTAGGGGGATGAGGGCATCTGCTGGGTGGTGGGGGTGGCCGGAGAGTGGTCAATTGGGGGGAGGGGGGGAGAGACATATATGTAATACTATATGCAATACTTTAAACAATAAAGAATTTAAAATAAATTTTTAAAACAGTTCCAGTAAGTGAAGCAAAGTACCAGTGAGTCCAAGAATGTAATTCATGAGATTCTAGTTCTACTTTTGATTACCTCAAACAATTATTTCTCTCCTTCAGCTCAATTACTCTATGAAATAGAAAAATGGCTGAATGTGCTACTGCTAATACTCTAGTTAGGACTAGTGATTTCTTGATTGAAATCCCAACTGTACCTTAAATAATTAATGAACAAGCACAATAATCCCTTTTAAAAACATTAAGTATCACCAAAGAACAAACTACATGTATTTATTTTCAAAATCTACAGTGGATATTTTCATCAAAACAATCAGAAACATACTTTAATAACAAGCTATATATCATAAATTAACAAAAATGTTACATAAAAACAATAAAACCCAGTGTTAGCAAGGATTCAAAGTATGCTAATAACCACTGTTAAGAGTGTAAATTAGTAATAAAAATTTTCCTAGAGGAATACTTACCATAAATTTTTAAAATACGAAAATGGGCCTTAAAAACACATGACTTTCTAAATATACTAAAGGCCCGGTGCACAAAATTCATGCTTAGAGCGGGAGGTAGGGTTCCTCAGCCCAAGCTGCACCTTCTCTAATCTGGCACCCCTCGAGAGATGTTTAACTACCTGTTGGCCTAATCCCGGTAGGATCGGGCCTAAACGGGCAGTCAGACATTCCACTCACAATCCACGACTACTGGCTTCCAACTGCTTGCCTGCCTGCCTTCCTGACTGCCCCTATCCACTTCTGCCTGCCAGTCTGATTGATGCCTAACTGTTCCCCTGCCAGCCTGATTGCCCCTAATTGCCCTCTCCTGCAGGCCTGGTCTCCCCTAACTGCCCTGCCCTGAAGGCCTGGTCCCCCCCAACTGTTCTACCCTGCAGGCCTGGGCCCCCCCCAATTGCCCTTCCTTGTAGGCCGGTCACCCGCAACTTCCCTCCTATGGAAGCCTGGTCACCCCTAACTGCCCTCTTCTGCAGGCTTGATTGCCCCCAACTATCCTCCCTTGCAGGCCTGGTCCCTCGAAACTGCCCTTCCCTGCTGGCCATCTTGTGGAAGCCATCTTGTGTCCACATGGGGCAGCCATCTTGTGTGCTGGAGTGATGGCCAATTTGCATATTACTCTTTATTAGATAGGATAGAGGCCAGCTGCATGGGTGGGGGCTGGCTGGTTTGCCCTGAAAGGTGCCCCAGATCAGAGTGTGGGGTGGCCTGGGCGAGGGGCCTGTGGTGGTTTGCAGGCTGGCCACACACACCCAGCGACCCAAATGGAAACCCTGGTATCTGGGATTTATTTATCTTTTATAATTGAAACTTTGTAGCCTTGAGTAGAGGAGTAGGTCAGCTAGGGTGTGCGGGAAGCTTGGCTTCCTCCATTGCCAAGGAGACCCAAGCCTCCTGCTCACTCTGTGGCCGCAGCCATCGTGGTTGGTTTAATTTGCATACTTGCTTCTGATTAGCCGATGGGTGTGGTTTGTGGGTGTAGCATAGTTATGGTCAATTTGCATATCACTTTTATTAGATACAATACTAAAACATTAACTAAAAAGAAATGGATAATTGTATAGATATATAGTAAAGTAAGCAAATCAAAATGTTAAGATGGTGGCCACCCAAGTGCTCCAGGCACGGAGTAGCCAGGCAGGGCAGGACGCCTGCTATGAGAGGAAGAGCAGGGGTCGAAGGGATCTACAGGAGTGGCTCTCTGGCCACAGCAAAGACAAAGATGGCAGATTCTAGCTGGAGACTGCAGCGAAGATGAAGAAGGCAGGCTCTGGCCCGAGTCTGCAGGAAAAGTGGTAGCCTCTGGCCAGAGCAAAGGCCTGGGTTCCAGGTGCCAGAGATAAACCAGTGCTGGAAGCCAAGGGAAAGAAGGCCTATTGCATGAATCTCTTTGTGCAACGGCCCTCTAGTGAACAGATAAAAGCCCAGCGACCGTTGCGGCAGAATGACCAGTTGCTATGATGCGCGGGCCACAGGGACCACCACCAGCGCAGCAGCCATGCCCAAAGGTCCAGGGCCAGTTGCCCGGCCACCGCTAAGGCACTGGTAAAGAAGAGCGTGAAGGTGGCCAGCATGAGCATGCAGCTTGAGACGAAGGGTCTGTGGAACAAATTCAATCAACTGGGCACCAAGATGATCATCACCAAGGCTGGCAGGTCACGGGGCCCCTCTCCCTGCTGTGACCACCCCCCCTTCACGTGCCACATGGCGCCAGTCTCGGGCAGTGGGCTTTAGCCCAATCCATATGCGTGAGACTGAGAAATGGGTGGGAGTCACGGCCTGGCCACCTGTGAGTCCCTTGTGGCGTGGGCCAGCTCCTTCACTCTCCAAGTCCTGGGTCTAGCAACAGCCGCCCAGCACTCCAGGCGAGAGGGTACTGCTTGAGATGCCAGGAAGGTGGTGGAGAGAAACCTTGTGGACCTCTGCCTGACCAGCAGCCCAGGACCCATCACCGCCACAAACGGACCGGCTCAGAGCACACCGAGCTTGGGGAGAAGGCAGCTGCTTGTGAGGGGACTTGCCACCAGCCGGCTCCCAGTGGATCCCACCTCAAAGGAAACTCGGTCTTTGGTTCCTTAGTTCAGTCTTTCCTGGCTAAAGAGGAGCAGCTGGGCACATTTTAGGGGAGAATTAAGACTCTAAAACAGTGTGTTCTGTTCCGTAGAGATTGTTACCCAGTTGTCTTGGGCCTAAATTCCCGGTGATCATGGGGCCTGGCTCTGCCACTGGGGCCCGTGTCTTCCAATTGGCCTGCATTTGTTGTAAGGGCCCAAAGAGAAGAAGGGGAACAAGTTTTTTGATGCAGTGGATTTGAGCAACAGACAAGGCTAGTGCCAGGCTGTGTCTAATGTACACACAGAGACACCAGCTGAGTCCGCCTGGCCAAAGGGAGCTCAGGGCCTGTTTGCAGAGCCTTCTGGTGGTTCCTGTTTCCTTGCTGAGACCATCCTACCTGAAAAGCCTCGGAACATGCTCAGCTCCAGTTCAGTGGGTCTTCTCCAGGCCCCTCCCTCCAATTAGCCCCCCACCCTGACGGGGGCAGAGATGGCCAACTGCCCATGGTTCCACTCCCGTCCCCCCCACCTCGCCAACCTCACCTCTGATTGGGCCTCCCACCCCAGTCAGGGGCGGGGCCAGCTGGCCAACCTCTGGCAGTCCCTCTCCCTGGCCGGCCCAGCCCAGTCAGCAGTGATGGGGGTGAGCCGGCCAGACCCCACCTGTGCACCAATTTGTGCACCAGACCTCTAGTTAAGACTATAAAAAACTAAAGTGAAGGGAACAAGGGAACATTCGTTAATTTCAATAAAAACAAAATTCTAGAGAGAAAAAGGTCCATTTCATAATTGTAAAATGTACACAGTGAATACTTATTTAACAAAAACTATAACAGAATGATGTTGGGAAGATGAGAAGGAAGGATGAGTGAGCTAAACCCTCCACTCTCACAGCAAGACGTCAGTACAGATGTTCTAAAAGGAATAAAGCAAGAACTGCCCACAGGAAGCAAGCACCTCCACTGCGACAGAGGCAGGCTCTGCTGGTCTGGCCACCTGATCAGAAGCACAGATGTCTAGACCCGCCTTTAGTCTCACTGCAGAAACGGGCGTTCTCTTTTAGACAAACGGGAAAGAGTGGGTCAGTGCCACCTGCGCTAATCACCATTACTCCACTACAAGGGCCCTCATGTTCCAGACCACCCAGCACTGAGTCAACCATCACATTTAACTCTATTTCCCAACATTTTCCAATCTATCTTTTCTGAGTAATAAGGTTGATGCTTTTCCTCTGTCACTATTCCTTTATCTTATTTGTCAATTTGTTCAGATCCTAGGCAACAAAGAGGCCTCAACACTTAGTGCGCCCACCAGGACTGTTGAGAAATAGAAGAACAGAATCTACATCAAAGGAGTGACGGAGGTATTCTTGTAGGGCCTTAGACATCAGTTGTGTGTAGAAAGCATGGCAGGGTCTCATGTTAAGACAGGTAAAGTCATACTCTTGCAGCCTGAGTGGGCTACTTAAGCTGATTACCCTCATGTTTTGGACTAGCTGGCCTCAAAGGACATTAGCAGCATGGGAGCCCAAGCCACTTATTAGAGGAAATTGCCCCATTTGTAATTATAACTACTGCCATTTAGTCTCCCCGCAGAAACTGATGCTCTGTTTTAGACCTAATAGGCAAGACTGCATCTGCAATCAGTGCTTTCTGCACTGATCACCATTACCCCAACCACAAATGTCCTGACGGTCCAGGCTATCCGGGCACTGGAGTCGATCGTTATACGCAAGTATTTCCCAGTTTGCTGATGTGCTCAAATGTCTCAATGTTGCGACCATCCACAGAGAAAACATTCAGAGGCCATCAACCAAACCCTGTAAGAATATCCGTTAACATGCCCTGAATTTAACACAATTAGTCCTCTACCTAAGAGTAGTAAATAACTCCTCTAAATACATCATTCTCTCCCAAGAAGATAGTGCTAAAGACATTGTAGCTCTGTCCCTGCCAAAATGATGAGATGTTGATAAGAGCCCTGGCCTCC